CTTCCCTGCACCAAATCATATGTTGAAGCCCTAACCCTCAATGTAACTGTATCTGGAGGTAGGATCTTTAGGAGGTAATTAAAGGTTAGATGATGTCTTAAGGGTGGGGGCTTAATCCAATAGGACTACGGCCTTATAAGAAGAGGATGAGAGAGAAGGAGAGAAAGCGATAGATCTTTCTCTCTCTTTACCAACAAGAAGGTGGCCATCTGCAAGACTTTAGAAAGAGAGCCCTCAACAGAACCTAGAGCCTGACCATGCTGGCATCCCAATTTCAGAATTCCAGTTTCCAGAATAGTGAGAAAATAATTTTTTTTTTGAGACAGAGTCTCGCACTGTCCCCCAGGCCGGAGTGCAGTGGCATGATCTCAGCTCACTGCAACTTCCACGTTCTGGGTTCAAGTGATTCTCCTGCCTTAGCCTCCTGAGTAGCTGGGATTTCGGGTGCCTGCCACCACGCCCAGCTTTTTTTTTTTTTTTTGTATTTTTAGTAGAAATGGGGTTTCACCATGTTGGCCAGGCTGGTCTTGAACTCCTGACCTTGTAATCTGCCTGCCTCGGCCTCCCAAAGTGTTGGGATTACAGGCGTGAGCCACTGCGCCCAGCGAGAAAATAAATTTCTCTTGTTTAAGCCATCCAGTATTTTGTTATGGCAGCCTCTAAGACAGGTGGTTGAAAACTCTGTAGAATCTCCAGGAGGACAAGAGAGCCAGGTTCTGTCTGTGCAGCCAGAAATGACTCCCAAACCAGCTGTGGGGCTGCCCCTGTGAACACGTGACATGCCTTTCACCATGGATACCAAGCTTACACAGGGGTGGAGCACCTGGAAGCAGAGGCCTTGGCTGCCAGGCTCACTACCAGATAGATTCCTCTCTTTTGTTGCTCACTTCCTGGCAGAAATCTCATGTGATCTTCTAATGGCACAGCCTAGATAACATGTGACCTGTTTGCAAGGAAGGTTCTGGAAAAGTGCTTTCGCTTCTGTGAGGGAAAGGTGGAACTCATAATGTGAGGCATTTTCCAAACATAAGAAGAAGATGCGTTTGTGTGCTGCTTACAGCCCTGCCAATGGATGACATTTGACTTGTGGGCTACTTTCATTGTTTAAACTTCCACTTCTGAGAACAACTAGAAAAGCCAGATTAAATCATCATCATCATCACCATCTGTTAAAAGACATTCAGAGAACTGCTGAAATAACCAGGACTAAAGAGGCCAAGATTCTGGAGACAGGGACACTCTGGTGTGGTGAGCTGACATTCTGCAGCTGATTTTTCCCTGGGGATATTTGCACATTTGGGCACAGGGAAAGAGGCCGAGTTTCTAGACTTTTCCCAGGCATGAAGGCTGCTTTGGGGGAACAGAGAAACTGACAAAACTTTTAGCAACCTCATAGGGCTAGAAAGACAAAACTGGAGACTCGAGAGGCTATTATCCCAGGGAGAAGCGAGGGGCAGAAAAGTGAGCCTGATAGATGGTGGTTTTCCCCTCAAGATATTTGGCAAAGTCTGAAATAGTGCAGGGCAAGAAGCAAAGATGCCATGCAGAAGGTCCCTGAAAAAACAGAGCCATTTCCACAGTCTTGTCGTGCTGTGAAGATAAGGGTTAGAGCCCAGGACCAGAGAGAGGGGACTTAGTGAACACCCGAGGTTCCTGGTTGGAACCCTGGAAAGGCAAAGCATTAGAGATAGGGGACAGAGTGAAGTGGTGTCTTTTCAAAACTATAGCCCAGTCTCCACCCAGCTCAGCCCCTGATTGGATTAAGATAATTGATCTGTATGCAATTTATCTTGCAGAGAAAGAGTGTATCCTCTCCAGACTTAGATATTATCATCTCGAGTCTGTACATTTTTTCATACACAATGTCTGACATTCAATAAAAATTACAAGGCCTGCCAAGAGACAGGACCATATCACTGAAAATAAAGGGAAAAATAGTCAATAGAAAGAGACCCACAGGTCATCAAGTTTTTGGAGTTAGACAAATGCTTTAAAATAACCATAATTAACATGTTTAAGAAAAACTAAACGATGGAGAAAATAGATGAAAAGAGATAATTTTACCAGACAACTGGAATTCATAAACTTCATGGTCCAAAAGACGAAGAACATAGAGAACTTACTTCATCTGCTCATCGACAGATGTTGAAAATACTGACTCAGTTCTGTATAGCTATAAAATCCCATGGCTTACAGTATTTTTTTTCTTTTTCTTTTCTTTTTCTTTTTTTTGAGACAGAGTTTTGCTCTTGTTGCTCAGGCTGGAGTGCAATGGCACAATCTCAGCTCACTGCAACCTCTGCCTCCTGGGTTCAAGCAACTTTCCTGCCTGGGAGTAGCTGGGATTATAGGCGCCTGCCACCACGCCTGGCTAATTGTTTGTATTTTTAGTAGAGACGGAGTTTCACCATGTTGGCCAGGCAGTCTCAAACTCCTGAGCTCAGGCTATTCACCTGCTTTGGTCTCCTAAAGTGCTGGGATTACAGGTGTGAGCCACCATGCTGGGTCAGCGTACAGTCAAAAAAAAAAAAAAAAAAAGTGTGTCGAGGGAGAGCATCAGGAAAAATAGCAAATGCATGCTGGGCTTAATACCTAGGTGATGGGTTGATAGGTGCAGCAAACCACCATGGCACACGTTTACCTACGTAACAAACCTGCACAACCTGCACATTCACCCCAGAACTTAAAAATAAAGTTTGTCATTCAACTTGGCCACCACTGGCTCCTGTTCTTTCTGCTTTTCAAGTGGCTTCATTTAAGGTTGATATATTATACCATGTGTTCTGAGTATCACTCCTTACTCAGTCCTCAGCTCAGGGCTCTGTTCACCTGGAGAAAGGTGCCTTTTGCTAATTATTCTAAATACATCTGTTGGGCAACGTGTGTTGGGAATACTATTAGATAAGGTGATTAGGGAGATGAGGCCTCTCCGAGATGACATTTGAGTTAGCAGTGACAAGAAGAAACCCACCAGGAGAGGATTAGGGTGAAGCATGTTCTGGGCACGGTGGACATAGAGTGCAAAGATTTAATCAAGAGTCAGCAAACCTTTCTGTAAAGTGCCAGGCAGTAAATCTTTCAGGTGTTGTGAACCACCGGTCTCAGTTGCAGCTACTTAACTCTGCTTTACAAGGCAAAAGTAACCATAGACAATAAACAGATGGATGGTGGTATTCCAACAAAACTTTACTTGTGAACACTGAGATGTGAATTTCACATAATTTTCACGTGTCACAAAATATTCTTTTGATTTTTTCCAGCCATTTTATTTACATTTTTAATTTTTGAATTTTTAGTAGCGACAGGGTCTTGCTATGTTGTTGCCTAGGTTGGTCCGAAACTCCTGGTCTCAAGTGATCCTCCTGACTCCGCCTCCCAAAGTGCTGGGGATTACAGGCGTGAGCCACCGCGCCAGGCTTTCAACCATTTCAAAAGGTAAAAACATATTAACCATGGAGCCATCATCTGCTGTTATAACGTCAGTTAGGTATGCTGGGGTCAGGCCACACAGACCCTTATAGGACATGGGAATACTCAGAATAAGGCAAAGGCCCTTTTCCCTTCCAAATGGAAAGCCATCAGGGCGGGCCAGGGTACCAAGTCTAGGAGGCAGCTTCCTGAAATTCACGGAAGATCACCAGGTTCGCTTTATTTTTTCCCCAGTAACAAGAAAGGACAAACGAACAAAAAAGGCACGCACACACACACCGAGCCAAAGACAGAGAAGACGTGCCCAGGTTCACGCCGACGCCTCTCCGGCGCGCACCGAAGGTTTCAAAGTTGGGCGCACACCTGCTCCCAGCCGGAGCGCACCTGCTGAGCAGCACTCCAGCTCGGTCTCGCGAGAGCGGTGCAGGAGTAGTGGCCCCCACCCC